TGCGCATGAACATGAACATGAAAGTAAAAAGAAAGATGTAAAGAAAGACGAAGAGATGGTATCATGGACATGAAGAACAACGATGAAGCTTTAAAAAAATGATGGAAACACCTATTGATGGGTATGAATGAGCGCAAAAGGAAGGTAGGGGTATATAATCCGATGAATGGGTCTTCTTTTGGAAAAATGAATGAAATTTTGGGAGGATGGAATACGGTGGAGGGAGATGTATCAATCAATATGTGGATCAACTGTCAGTATCTGCATTTGACTGACCACCTCCGAATTCTCGCATTTCTCGTAACGCGTCTGCTCTGCGTGCCACCACGTCTTCACGACGGACGACGTTGCGCAAGGCTTCACTGGCTTGGATCAGGCCGTCGATGCTGATGGCGTGGTTGGTCATTTGATGGTTGATGTAGGTGTATATTTCCGCGGGCGTGGAGCAGGTAGTCAGAAGCTGCTGCTCGTTCAGTTTCAAGAGTGCAAGGGCGACTTGGAAGAGGAATGTGCTGCCGCCGCCGCTGCCGGACGCAACATCATTGGCGGCGGATGCGTTGGCATCGTTCGCGTCTCGAGGAGCGGTGGTGGGTTGGTTGGTCGAGGCGCTGGAGCTGTTGCTGTTGTTCACGACACTGGTGACGTTCAGACACAGCACCACGTCCCAGACACGATAGAGTGCCTCGGCGGAGAGACAGTCGGTGAAGACGGATAGGAACCATTGGAATGTCAACGCCTCCAGCTCGACGCCCAGTGTCTCGAGATGGGCCGCTAATTTGGGCAGCACCTGGGAGATGTACTGCCGCAACACAACTTGATCGGCGCGAGACGCAAGAAGACCATGATCGTAGTAATGCTGCGGGAGAATGACCTCGATCATCGACGCTAGGATCCAGAACGCATCCTCGGCAGTGGGGGTGATCAGCAGCAAAGACGCGGCGATGAGGTTCATACCCTGGCAGTACCCAACTTCCGGGTTGCGTCGGGAATACGCCAGGAGAACCTCCTTCAATTTCGCCACACCGGGTCCCTTCCGAAAGAACACGTTATCTGTCAGGGTACGGTTGATGTCCATGTCGATTTGCGAAACAACCGACGCATCAGGATCGTGGCCGTCTGTACCTTTCACGAGCTCATCATAGTAGCCCGGTATCCGCATGGACGACGCGCCACTGCATTCGGACCAGACCTTGGCGCGGAGAGCGACGGGAATGCCGCCGAGTACAAGCGTCCGAAACTCACGCCATTTAGCACGGCCTACCTTGCCCTTGTTTCCGAGGCCAGAAATACCCACCACTTCACCGTCGGCGAGAGACGCTTCCGGAGTGTCAACAGATTGCAAGGGTCGGTCTGCTGCGGCCGCTGCGGCCGCCGCAGCCTCGCCTTCTTTCCTGCGCTCTGCTCGCACCTTGCGGAGGAACTCATTCCATCTGACTGTTCTGTCGCGCTGTAAGGTGTCATGAAGATCGGTGAGCTGCTCAAGAAGCAGCTTGACAGGTTCATTCTCCTTCGCCGCGGAAGACGTGGCTGTCACGACCGGCTCATCGCTCGACACGCCGGAGAATTCAGGACGATCGGCCGTGATCGTAGATGTAGATGCCGACGGTTCAAGATTTTGATTGAATGAAAGGGAGCCGCGTTTGTCAACGCTTACTGCTGGATTCCGCGGGGGTTCCCCAGTAGTCAACGACACGATAGGACCGGCAGACGGCGTGTGAGACAGTAACTCTGCCGGGCCCGTGGCAATTTTCAAGTAATCCTGCCATCTCCGAATCGCAACGCTACCGGCCTCTGGGTCCTCGGGAGATGCCGAATCCGGGGAGCGCTGAGATTCTGTAGCAGACGGTGGCTGATTTAGGGATTCGCGCTCGTCATCAACGTCAGAATTTTCGCTTCGAAAGCTACTGAGGGTTTCCGCGATGCTCAGACGATTGCCGGCATTCTTAAAGGAGCCGGCATCTCTTTGTCTCTTCTTTCGACGCTGGTCGTAAATGAATCCGAATCTGTCGGTCAAAAGCTCACCGGGCTGGTAGTTGTAAATGTGAGACAGCGTTGGGGGTCGTGACTCCATCGGGAGGATGGCATCCATCTCCACAGGCCCAAGGTTGGTTGCGTTCTTGTCGGCACTCTCCGAGGCGGATCCATGCGAAACGCTGGCCGCATTCCTCCGCGCGACTTGGTTCGATCTGGATAGACTGGCCGGTCCGTTTGACAACCGTCCCGACGGCGCGCCATGTATACTGGTATTGCTATTGATTCGTTTCAAGGCTGCAACCGCCGACATGGCGCCTTTGGGGTTCGCCTGGGCTGCGGATGAATCGGCCTTACTTCGCTCCCGCATGTTTGACGAAGCTGCGGTGCGCGCGCTGTCCGCATCGTTTTCGTCCTTGCCCGACTGGGAGTTCCCTGCGAACAGTTTGAGGGTCCAAGACGATAGTGATTTTGAAGACTTGCGAGAGTGGACACTGTTGTCATCGCCATTGGAAGTCACACCCAGCTGCCATTTTCCTTCCCCGGCCAGAGGCACCGCCTGTCCATTGGGTGGCGGCTGGAAGAGCTGGTCGTCGAGAGCCTTGCGTCGAGCCAATGAGGGGTTGCTGGCGTTGCGCGGTTGCTGGCCCTCTTCCTCGATCTCCCCAACCTCACTCATAATGCTGCTCGCACGGCTGGTCTTGCGACTGCCGGCTGTGCTTCCAAAGATATAATCCTGCCAGTTGCGCAGGGAACTCTGTCTCTTGCGAGTCGTTCCCGATTCCAGGCTCGAGGTGCCCGACCGGGAGTCGCCCTCGAGACGTTGTTGCGGACGGAGGGTGGCCTGGGCCTGCGGCGCTGGATCCGAGGTTTCCTCGTGCGTATCCGTGCCTACGCCATCGGTCAAGGCTTGCTGCATTAGCCCGTGGACGCCAGAAGGAGAATTGACCGCTGGTTCCATGTGATTACCGTCATCTGCCTGATCCCGGTCCGATTTGTTCGGAGCATTCTCCAGTGCATATAACCGCCGCTCGATGTCTTGGTTCGAGACCGAGACCTCCCGCAGCATCCTCTTCAGCTCTCTCTCCCGCGCGTCGGCCCGTTGCCGCAGCGCCGAGACCTCGGCATCGCGCTGCGCCAAGTCGCGGGCAAACTGTCGAACCAACTTGACGGCTCCCGTGCCTGCAATCAATCGCTCGATGTGCGCATCGTCCGCCAGATGCAGCGCACCGGGGACGTCGCGGATCGGGACCGAGTCCCCGAACAGAGAAGCTCGACCCGAGGGCGGCGGGACCCCACCGGTCAACTTGGCCAGGGTCGCCCGGCGGTCTCGACTCGTGTCGCTGGCGGCATCACCATTATCGCTATCCAACAACGCGTTTGACAAGGCGCTATTCAAGGCGGGCTGGCCGAGGAATCCCTCGGGCGAGCGATCGGGCGAAAGCGAGGGGAACGAGGTCAGGTCGGTGGTGGTGTTGGACGAAGCCGATAGACGTTTCTGGGGGATGGCGCGGACGGTTTTCGCCTTCTGGCTATGTCGTGAGGACGAGGAGGTGCGCGACGACGAGCGACGCAGCAGCTGTTGTCGGGCATCGTGCTCCGCCATGGCTCGTGGGGCGGTGAACAGACCAGACGCAGGGTTTGGCGAGTGCAGACTTCATGAATGCGTGTGGATTCGTGTGTCGGCTCTCATTCGAGGCGATCGAGATATGAAGGCCAACTATAGTGCAGAGGATCGTTCAAGAAGCGTGTGAACGTAGGCGAAATGGGATTGATGAAGAGACGGGACTTTTTTGTGCGGTGGGATGGCGTAATCGTTGTTTGGGCGATAGATAAGAAGGACCGCTGGCTGCTCCACTTCAAACGGACAATGACTCAAAGACGGGGTCTGGTGTTTTATATCAAGGACCACCCCGGAGGGAGAGAAAGAAGGCGCAGACCAGGGAGAGGCGGGTCGAGAGGGCGAGAGAAAGGGAAGATAAAAAACAAAAGCGATGGAATGCCCGAGGTGTTTCCCATGACGTGTGGCCGCGCGCAGCTGACTGACGGTCACGTGAGCAGCCCGGTGATGTCAGGTCGGCCGTTCTACAGATTTACTGATCTACAGTTTATAATTTAATATGTAAAGAGTAATCATCATTTCCATGTTTCGCATTTTAGTCCTGACAGTCGGTGGCCAACAACCCTGTGCTGATTACCTAAGCACCTAACTTTGCACCAAATGCTGACAAAATCTCACTCGAGGGTTCCAGAACAAAATCACCCCTGACAAAGGACCCTGTATGCCAATCAGTTTGACTAAGAAGCTAAGATCCAGACTAAGTGGAGAATGCACTTTCGACATCATCGGGCAGAAGCTTTCATCGTTCTGGAACATGGTACACCGGTGTAGATACTCTGGTAGTGTCCTCCGCAGCGCGGCTCTTTTCCGCGGTGCCAGCTCAGAAGTGTGGGTATACCAGACACGGAGTGCCCACAGGACAGAAATGAGTAGCCTCCTTGCTTGAGGGAGTATGAAATCATTGATGTGTTTGCTGTGCATGAAATGATGACTATATTTGTTTGCACCAGACTGGTAATTTTCTTCTGTCGGCAGATGTCATTCAACTGTGTAGAGCGTTCAAGGGACTATCGATCTTCGGATATTCGTTGTAATGGTAAATGCCTACCGAGCATATTGAGAAACTGAAGAGCGTTTCTTTTCAAATGATTCTATGAGGGAGCATTAAGATATGAATTATGGGTGAGAAAGGCTGTACAAACCAGCTTTGTCCTTCCAGAAATCCGAATGTGCCATTTGTTTCGTTTCGAAGAGAGATTCTTTCATCATATTTACTATTATCTTGTCCGTCTCTTTCAAATTTTCGAGAAACTACACACTGGTTATGGTCGCGCACGAGGAAACTATGCCTTAAGCCATTCGCGATGGCCGACTGTAGCGAAGACAGAGAGGTGGGTGTGGGCTGGGAAATTTTCCCGAATTTTTCTCTATGTGAGTGGCTGGTTGTCAGTCAGTCAGCCAGCTCTAACTAGCTCTGTGGCGGTTGACTTTGGGCAGAACTTAGTGAGATAGACTGACCCAAGGCAGTATAATCCTCATTTTCCTTTCTGTCTTCATCGGATTCGCCTTCACCACTGGATTTGTACTCAAAGAATTCAAACCGATCCTCACTCTCATCTGTTTCATCAACAGGCATCGTGAGCGGGATTAACCCCTCTACAGCCCTGGTCGCGTAGTCGAGTTTCTCTCTTTGCTCACAACTACTCACATCTATTGTGCCTGACCCCTCTGGCATATGCAAATAGACATGGTCATCCCATAGAAAACAGTAGAGATCTCCTTTCAAGCTTCTTTCAAACCATAGGCAGAATATCCTTGCCCATGTCTCTTGACCGAAACCGGAGAGCATGCTAGGAAGCCCCGTACAGGATGATAAGCACAGGCCTGCGATTTTCCTCACCTCCGCAGATTCGCTGTCCAGGAACGCGATTAGGGTGTGAACCGTCTCAACTGGTATCGTTTTCCTGCATAGCCGTGTTTTGAATGCAATGATTCCTGGTGTGAAGGGATTATACACTCTTGAAGCCAATTTAATTATTGCCATTGCTGTGGTCGAAGAGATCGCGATTGAATGTTCGAGGAAAACCTCCAATGCACTACCAGCTACGGAGTCGCTATCGCCCTCGAGGAGCGTTTCCACTAGTCCGATTGCACCCTCAGGTAATTTGGGTTGCGCCGCGAGGACTTTCAGTGCCATCGAGCGCACTGAAGGTGGGTGCGCATCTGAAAGGAATGTGATCACCTGTCGCAAACACCCATCATCTAGGTTGCGATATGCTTTCAAGATGCCCAGGGCGAGTTCGTGGAGGTTGCTTTGAGAGCCCCCAAGCCATAAATACACTTGTTCAAAGACGCTTCGATCATTCGGCAGGGCCCAGTATCGTCCTATCATATCAATCGCAGTCGAGATCAACTCGGGTGACTCCAAGCAAGATAAACAAATCTCTAATATCTTGTCCCGGGAGGGAGCATGTTTGCACCAGGCTTTCAGTGCCGCCACCTGGTCATTGGGGTTACTGTGGTAAACATTCTGGAGCAGAGCCTCGATAGTATCGGTAGATATATTGTGCTGGGCCTCTAGAGATTCGGCAGCCCTATGCCTGATCTTCCATGCCGGATCTTGAAGTAACTTAGTCAAACACTCCTGGACATCGCGACAGGCAGGAGCATGAGCTAGCGCTTTAGTTACACTGTATACCGTGCAGTCATCTTCATCATCTTGCAGATTGATGACCGCGGTAAGTAGACTTTCATCTGTTGCTATAGCCCCGTACGATGCTTGAACGGCACGGCAACTTATAACTGGGTTCTCATGTCTCAACAGGTAGATGAGCTCTGTTATAATGTTTTGTTGAAGTGTAGACTGGCGTGACAAAAGAGTTGCTGCTTCGTCGCTCCCCGTGGTAGAAACTAGGTGCACCGATGCATTCATGAATTCGTCAGGCAAATCCTTTTCAAACTGCAATTGGTCACACAAGAAGCCTTGTAACTCCTCAGATCCATTCTCCAAGATATCTAGAATCTTGTTAAAAAAGATTTTGTGGTGGCTAGCAAGAACCCCAGAAATCATTACTGAATGAGAGTTTGAGGGATCTTCGAGTTCTGCCACCTGCCGAACAAGGTTATGTGAAAGATGTGGCCGAAGGAATAAACTGAATAAAACCTTGTGTTGGCATCTGTTGGACCCTTGCGTAAGAAGATTGCTAAGCAAGCGCTCTGGGAATTCCATCTCAGAGGCAAAAGATATACCAGTTCCCAAATCCAACCACAGAAGATTTTCTAATTTTTTCTCGAGTTCACTCCTCCTCTCTTCTAAAGTGAGATTACCTTGGTCCTGCGGGATCTCGTTGAAGCAATGCATGAGGATGCGTGCGTGAACCGGACCAAGGATATCTCTTGGAAAGTCATTGAGTAGGTCGATGAATTCGAGTGAATGCTGCAAGTTCTGACTGTGTAAGATTCCCACTGCAAGTCGCCACATGATATTGTAGCGTCCATTGTATTTTTCCTGCATCAGCAGCTCTTTGGGTGAAACCTGCTTAACTCCGCTCATGTTGAGCTGAATAACATTGAGCGAGACGTTGTTGACCCAACAGCGTACAAAGTAGTTGGCCGCGAAATACTCCTGGAATGTAAGATGAATAAAATAGTAAACCTTGCTCCCAGGGCCTGAATCAACGGCACGTAAGAAGGACAGACGGTCAATTTTAGTGTCATCTATGGCAGCTATCCCAGGAAACATTTTGTAAACCTTGTGTCGAAAACGAGGTGCGAAGTCGACCGTGTTATGATAGAGACCGTTGAACGCAATTTGTTCCAGCAAGTCAACTTCCAACTTCATAGAAGCTTCCAGCTGGTCCCTGTCCAACAAAGCTTTGACTGCGATCTCTGAGCCTCTGTTAAGGCGGACAATATCTTTCCTCCACAGCCTTAGCTCAATTGCCTGGTACAGAGCCGTCATCGTTTGCGGGGGGTCCGAAAATGTTGTTTCTCCCCATGAATAGCACAATGCGTCCAGTTGAATCGGGATTTGCAACAGTCCTTTCATCAGCGACTGATTACGGATGAAATCCTTGATTTCCTGTCCCCGTACTTCGTCTGCTACAGCTCGGTCGAGATATTCAAATACTTGATCTGGTTGGAATCCGACGGTTTCAAGTTCAAGATCAAATCCTCTCCGGAACTGGTAAGGGTGGATTGCGTAAGGGCGTGACGTGATTATAACATTTCTGCGGGCGAGAAGCTGCGCGAATGGGGCTTGCTCGGCTTTGTCGGCGATCTCATCAAATCCATCAAGGATGAAAAGTGTTCGTGTATCTGATGGTTCTGCTAGCATTTCCCATAGCGCTGTCGCAAGCATTTCGCGTTCTGGTTGCCCATCACCAAACATTTTACCTATGATGAACTGTTTCAAATCAATACCTGGGTCTAGAGATCGCAGCGGAATCCAGAGTACTCGATCAAACCCCCATGAAGTAAGCTGACCACGCAACATGTCGTGAACGATCCTCTTAGATAAAGTTGTTTTCCCGACTCCTGCACGACCCCGGATTAATATCCTCTCGGGCCTGCCTTCACGACCATTTGCTAGTTTTCGTGGGCTAAATAGATCCGGTAAATGAATAGCTTTACCATTCTTTGAAGGATACACGGTCAAACGCCTTCTCAAAGACACCTCGAAGCGTTCATCGCTGGTTTCGCGCTCGGAAGATGCAGATTCCACAATTCCAAGATTGATAAAGCAGCTTTTCATCTCCAGAGGCTCTCCAGATAGGCGAAAAATCTTGAGAACATGCCAATCGTCGCGTTTGTAATACTGGGTCAGTGCAACATCAGCGTAAAATCTTTGTGCTGGATTGCATCTTATCCATGCATCTTCGAGAAGGCTCGTTCGATCTTGTTCATCAAGTCGATACTGAAATGGCTGTCGGAGAGTCGGCTCCGTTGTGATTTTAGTTCGAAAAGGGCGTCGAAACATGCAATGGCGTTCCTTGACCGATGTCTTCCATTCAGGGTGCTCGAGTGTCTCAGATAAGAGGGCAACCATTCTCTGCACCTGCTTGTCATGTCTTCTGACCTTCATCACCGATTCCAGGCTAAATGTCCACTCAATAAAATCCACAGCACTAGCCTTAGTGCCATTGTCGCCACGCAGCCAGGTTTGTTCGACTTGAGCATACAGTCCACACCAAAATTCTGAGCCAAGCTTGATCGAAATATCCCGCAGGGCGCCTTGGAGCACGTCGAATGAGTTGGCGGAGAGCAAAAGACTTGCGTACCTTAGAACTCGATACCACAGCCGCTGGTTGCTGTTTTTGTTGATATTGTTCCGTAAGGCCTCCTCCAACTTTTTCTTTTTTCGGTCTTCTAAGCGACGGTGTCCAGCATCAAGCAGATCTTTTAACAAGGCATAGAGCTCAAGGACCTCGGGGGCGGCAGTCACGAACTTGCCTGGATCCATGCTGGTGACGCCGCCGGCAATGTTGGATGCAGCGGAAATGACCTGCCCGCTGGTCTGCCAAAATAAATTCCAAACGTCGACATTATCTGGTACGCCACGCAGCGCCTCGGAGGCATAACTCGCTGCCTGAGCCAGTCGAGGTTCGTCGTGGCTCTTTAACTGGTCGAGTAGATTTACGAGTGGCTCGTATATCTCCTCTCGATTGATTCCATTCACCTTGAGGTCAATGAGCGTGTCCAAAACCGTACCCAGAAAAAAGAGGAGGTGGTATTGAGTCTGTATATCCGCCTGTTTGAATGATAGTTTCAACCGTTCAAATACACTCGTGAGCGTCGATACTGGATTGAACGACTCTGCCGCTGGGTTCGTGCGGCGGCAACGTAGAGCATAATCGAGAGATGGCAACAGGTGCCGATCGAGGATAGTACCTTCCGTGGAATATTTTGTCACAGCGTTGGTGAGAGCTCTCATCAGGTCGAAATATCTTTCTTTATCGGCGATTTGAGCCAGTCGTGAGGCCTCGAGGTAATAAGTTGCTAAGTCTTGATTCCGAACCAGATCAACCATGCTTACTACCAGCGCCTGCAAAGCCTCTTTCTCTTTACTGTTGCAGTCGGCATCACCCAGGCGCTTGATCAAGCCATTTACACTCGTGGGCCTTGGACGAACTTCAAACAGCGGTGTCATGTTCAATATTTGGCAGCAAAGATGTTGTGTTGATTGCCCTCGGAACTTGAAGTTGGCACCTGAAAAGAAGAGGGGAGTGCGGCTGACGAGCCTAATGCAAGATGAGCTGCTAACCTGATATCGATACAGGGATGTGAGCCAATGATATGCTCACACGATCATCAACGCCAGATGTATGATGGCGGAAAGGGCATTGAGACCCTAGGAAGTCTTTGTAAGAAAATTCCGCAGATCAATGGGTCGATCACAAGTAATTGTAGAGCTAAGCGCTTGACCGACGAATTAGCAGACGACCCTGAAGTGTCATACACCGGATTCCCAACTTCTGATCCTAAGTAATCGTAAGATTGCCATCCCCAGACCAAAGAAGGCTTATAGATCAGGAAGCAATTTGTAAAGCTTTCCCCGAAAACGTCATACAAAAAAGAGAAGTAAAATTGAAGAACCCTAGGCGAAGGTAGCTTGAATGAAAGTGACAGGTCTATAACCACGCCATGAAGTTATATCAAAAACAAAGGACCGACTAAGTCCGTGGAAGATCTATTGACAGTAGAACGAGTGGCGGCTGAAAATTCAGGGCCGCCTCGAGTAATTGCTGGTGTCTTTTATACTCTAATATCATCGTCATCATCTTGAACTGCGTTGATTGAAAGCTGAGGTGGTTGATATGTAGGAAGTACGGTATATGATCCCTGTGAAGATTGTAGCTACCATATTAGTTAACTGAAAAATCTTATTCACCGGCTAGATCATTTTATAAATTCACTCTACATCATGTATACATTATCGGCAAGGTCGGCCTCTACTAACTAATTATTTTCTAAAAATTACTCCGTGCCTCTGAGTACCGTGGCAATCGGTGTGGCCACTTATCTGAGATATCTAGCTTACTAATTGATGACTAAGCGAGGTCGAACCCCAGGGCAGGCGGAAGGGTACGTCCCTATGCTCCAACAAACAACCTCGGCTCCCCGCAAAAAGCAGCCGAGTTGTTCTGTCGCATAGTTACATCGTCTCACCTCCATTACCCCTAACTCTATCTCTTCCTACCTACTCTTTCTTTCATTGTCAACCCTCACATCTACACTTATCTCTATCTACTCATATATATCAGATCCACCCACCATGTCCGGTGCAGCTAAACAGCGTCTCCAAGCCCTCAGCCAACAGCTGGTCGAAGGGATCCCCGACGCCGGGTCCTTCGAGGGCGTTCCCAAGATCCGGCAAGTCGCGGGGGATTCAACAGGACCGTATGTTCTCTACCTTCTTTTTCGTCTAGAAACTATACGGACGCACGGTCATGAATATGTGGCGCACTCGGACATACATATCATATCTGCGTTCGGAGAGTTTCGCTTTCTCTTAGTCAACAGTCAACTAACACTCTCCTCCAGCCGCGTCAAGGGTAAAGTCGCCATCGTAACAGGAGCAAACTCCCCCGCCGGCATCGGCCGCGCAACAGCCTACCACTACGCCTCCAACGGCGCTCAGGCAATCTACATCTGCGATTTCACACCCACGCACCTAGAGACCTACGCGCGGGAACTCAATACCCTCTACCCTTCCGTAAAGGTCCATACCCGCCAATTCGACGCGGCCGACGAAGCAGCCACCAAGGCAGTCGTGGACGACGCAATCACGAACTACGGCCGACTAGACATCTTCTTCGCGAACGCGGGGATCGTCGGACAACCGAAGCATTTTGCCGACGTGTCAGGGGATGAGTTCATGAATACGATGAGGGTTAATGCCCTGGGGGTGTTTTTGGGCGTTAAGTATGCCTCTGCCGCGATGAAAGTCACCTCGGAAGAGAAGAAGTATCCCGGAGGATCGATAATCTGCACCGCGTCAGTGGCCGGGCTACGTTCGAATGCGGGGTCGACGGATTACTCGGCCTCGAAGGCAGCGGTGGTATCGATTGCGCAGACGAGTGCGTTTCAACTAGCCGGGTCAGGGATTCGTGTGAATGCCATCTGTCCCGGGTTGATCGAGACGGGGATGACGCAGGCGGTGTTTGACGCGGCGAGGGAGCGCGGCACGCAGCGCAAGATCGGCCAGTTGAATCCCTTGCAGCGCGGTGCTGTGGCGGATGAGGTTGCGCGCGTGGCGCTCTTCCTGGGGAGTGATGAGAGTAGCTACGTCAACGGACAGGCGTGGGCGGTATGCGGCGGATTGAGTGCAGGGCACCCGTTCGTGCCGGGCAAGCTGGCCTAATATGACGATGGAAAGGGATCTAGTGTATATACTATGCAGCAAGGAGAACTTTTGTATTCAATTCAATTCAATCTTCCAGCAGGTTACCCGCTGAGAAGACTTGGTGTTCAATTCAGAATATCTCAGACTTCGGCAGCTTTCAAAGCGGCCGGTTCCAGGAACTATAGACAAAGGGAAATATGTGGATGACAGCGAAAAATAAGGAAATCGAAATGAATGAGGACTGGGGTGGACGACACAAAAGGCCAAGACCCTTGGGTCTTGGATAAGAAGCGAAATATGAAAAGAAAAGGCCGACGAAGAAGAGTAGAACAAGCTGTGGTGAAGAAATCGAACCACCACCCAAAAATAAAACGAGACTAGAATGAGAATCAATATCCCCCAAAGAAGAATGGTAAATAAATAGATAGAAAAAATGGTCTCCAAAAAACCCCCAAGAATGGCAATAGTGGGAATATCCAACGGCAAATGATCAAGAATGTAAAAAAAATTTCAAAAGCCAAAAACTAACAACTGCCGTTGCACAACTCGCTCAAATTCGAAGAGGAGCAAGATGTCGTGTCAGAGTCGTCTTTGCATCTCATCTTTTCATCGATGGTACAAACTAACTTACGCGACCAGTCGGGGATTGCTGGTGCGCATGAGATCCTCGCTACCCTGCTTCGACAGGGTGCCAGTCTCAGTGTGGTCATCAAGACCATCGGTGTCATTGGCGTGCTCGTCATCATCTTCGACGATCCGCGTCGGGACCTCGCCGGGACCGTACTGTTGGCTCGACCTTTCCGGGAAGGTCGAGTTGCTGACCATCGACATCGACGTGCTCGACCGGTTGTGGACGAGGTCCGGCGTCGGGGGCACGCTCGAGTGTCGGTGGTCAGGGTGCAGGAAGTCCCCCATCTCGCTGCCATAACGGTGGTCATCGCCATGAGAGGCCAGGCGGTCTCCATCCTTGCCAGTCTCGTCGGAGTCGTCCTCCGCGGCATCCTGAGCCAGGTGGAGGCCCTCCACAGCGGCGGCGCACTGGTCGCTGATGCTGCGGATGATGTCCGAGATCGCATCGGTCTTGTCCCGGAGGTAGCGATCTGCCACGTCTGTAATGCTCAGACGGGCAAGACGCTTGTCACCTTTACCAAGGCTCATGAGATGCTGATCCATTTCAGGGTTCATGTCCCTCGTGGGGCCCGTCGTGGAGACGCTGGTCTCGGATCGGGAGCTGCTGCGGCTGGGGATAACCTCTTTGCGAGGCTCAACGGCAGCCGGTTCCTCGAACTTGGATGCGTCGGTGACGGCGGTCTTCTCTTCGACGGCCTCCTGCTGGGCCAGATCAGAGAGGTCGGCCGAGCTACCAATGGAGCGAACGATGTGCTCCATGTGGTGAGACTGGCCGTTGATCAGGCTCTTAAGGTGGAGCACCACACGCTGAGCATCGTCGCGTTGGCGAACGAGGTTGGTGTTGTTGTGCTGCAGGCTGGAGAGTTCCTTCTGGTTGCGCTTTCTCTCGCGCTCCAGCTCCTCAGCGATCTCCTGTTGAAGAACCAGCGCCTCCAGGGCGTCGTCCCGCTGCTTTTCGGTTCCGGACAGGCGCAGAGTGAGACGGGCGGCGTCGTCCTTCTGCTGGTCAATGAGACCGCTAAGGCGACGGTTCTCACGCTTGTGGTTCTCGATCTTGACCTTAAGCTCGGAGGTCTCCTTAGTGAGTTGCTCGGCGAATGTCTGGAACTTGAGGAACTGCTGCTTCCAGGTCTCCAATTCCTCGACCAGGAAGTTGTTGCGCTTGGTGACCTTGCTCAGCTCGGTGTCCATGCGGCCCTTGAGGTTGATGAAGTCTTGCCAGGCCTCCATGGCATCCCGCGAGTACTGGTTGCGCTCCCGGACGATCTCGTTCAGGTGGCGCATGGACACCTTGGTCATGAGAGGCTTCTTCACCGAGCCGCCGAAGATGGCCTTCATACCCGTGTTGCGTCCCAACTTCTCGCAGACGTGGTCCATGACGCCCATGACGGAATCCTGGTTCCACCACGACGGTTCCTGGACGCTTTCGACCTCGCCTCTCATCACGATGATCTGACCGGCGGGGATCAGCTTGCCGCCGGCGTAGGCCGATCGGAGGTGGTTAGGAACGCCGGAGGGCGAGACATCGCCGTTCAACGCCTGCGTCAACCGGTTGATGAACTTCGTTCGCTGTCCGGGGTTGAGAACGCTGGGCGGGCTCGAGGTCAGGACAAAGTTGCGATCCAGATCCACAACCAAGGCATCCGACGGGGCGTTAAACAGGGTTCGGCATTCCGCCGTGACACCAAGAATGTACGGACCGGGTTCTTGGACCAGGTCCTTGATGTGACGGGCATGGACCACCGGGACGTACAGCCCGCTCCACTCGTATATCCGAACGCAGTATCGGATCGTCTCAGCAGCGATGGTGAGCATGGCGGCGTAGTGACTGACAAAGATGATGCGGCGGGTCGGCGACACCGCAGCCTCGATGACACCCACGATGTTAGGGATGGACAAACAGGTGAACAGGGGCCACATGGCGAAGTTCTGGAAGCCCGTGGGGGACGAGGGGAATTGGTAGCATAGGGCATAATCCTTCATATCGATGCGAACCAGGTCGTTCAGGCGCGGGGCGGGGAAGCTCAGAATCCGCGACACTTCCTCCGCGTGGAACAAGTTGGTGGCCTTGTTCCAGTGGATCCACATCCCGCGAAGGTAGTCGCCGAGCAAGTCGTACAGGGGATATCTCGAGAGGAAACTCAAGCAGTAGGGGATCCAGTAGATCTCCTCGGGGTTATCGTAGAAGTCGGGTTCGGTCTTCTTGCGGAGTTCCCGGATGGTTTCGGCACGCTTCTCGTCGGCTCGGGACCAGACGCGCAAGGCAATACCGTAAAGAGTGTGAGACGAATCCTGCTGCAAAACAAAGGCATGGTGGGCGCAGTGAGGCTGGGTCTTGCCGGTACAGATCTCGACATCGTGAGGGAAACAGGCCTGATGATCTCGTTAGCTAAAAAATGCTCTTGGTGCGCCTATTCACGCATTTCATCGGAAATAGAACCCACCCTCATAGCCGAATGCAAGGACTTAGCAATCTCGTTATCCTGTTCCAGGCGAGGACTGCTGCCCAGGATCTCGGGCAACCAAAACTGACCCACGGCTCCCTTCATATGACCGATTTTTCCCTGGCCCGGCGAGGGAGCCTTCACCCACTGGGAAGGCTCGCGGCCGACACCACAGACCATATAGGCATGGGTGAGAGTCTTGGGCGTTTTCTGGGCCGGTTTGACGGTGGTCTGCGAAGGGATGGGTTGCGTAATGCGGGAGTGAAGCGAGGAGGTGCGACTAGGAACGACCAGCGAATTTTCTCCTTGATCGCGGGTCGTCGGCCGGTCGCGCGTCGACGGACGGGCGAAAGAGGAGTTCAGAGACGCACCCATGGTGAAGATGGGAAAGGGAAGGGCGAGTTAAAATGGCGAAATTTGATGAGGTGTATATATATAGATGCGGCGGAGTTTGTTTATCGAGCCCCAAACCGTGGTTCCGAAGATCTGGTCGAATCGGATTGTTGCTTTTTACTTGTTCCGAGAATGAACGAAAGGGATTCCTGGGGGGAGGTTCCTAGGTAATTGTAGCACTTCTCGAGTGCTACCGGCAGGCTGTGAAGAAAGGATAGACGATATTCGGAGTGGCAAGTGAGTGTCGAAGGTACTGTAGTTCTCGGTAAGGGGAGGTTAAGCGGACATGGGAGTCAGTCGTGTACAACTACAGCCTGCGAATTGACACGAGGAGCATCTCCCAGAAACCGCCACACGTTTTTTGATAGATGAACGAATTCACCCAACGTGTTGGAGCGAGGGACGATGTCTGCAATCGCTGCTTCTGGGGAGAAGAGGGAGGGGATGAAGCCAGAAGTGGGAGGGGGTTGAAAGAGAGAGAGGGAGAGGGGGAGAGAGATGAGGGAACGAGAGAAAAGAAGGAGGGATGGACCGGGAGAGAAGAGAGCGAGAAGAACGGGAGGAGAAGGGAAGAAAAAAAGGGAGTTGATCATTGACCCTGAAGAGCAAAGCTTCCTGACTACTCCGTAAAGGGGGAGGTCCTGATTCTTACCGTACGGTACGCCCACTAAAGGCGGAGTCGTTTGTTCCTGCGGCGGCGACCACTTCTTTAGCCTCCTTAGTCTTGCTCTTAGTGACTGCCAGAGGAGGTGTAGTCAGGGACGGCATGATTTGTTCTTCTTTTTATTATCTTTATTATTATTATTATTATTATTATGACGGAGTCCAAAAGTTAAAAATATAGAAACATAAAATATAAAATATAAATAAAGAAAATAAAATACAGAGGAATATGATTACCAACAGAAAGTAACCTAATAATGATCTCGCCAGGGAAGCCCCCGAGCAAACCAAGCGGACTCGTGCCGGCTGGGATGAGTCGTCGTCCGTTCCTTGCGCCCGTGCGGGGGAAAGTCAAAAAAGAAGCTCTTCAGTCGGGAGGATTCGATGCTGCTTCCGTCCTGGAACTAGGGCCTCTATCATGAAATGATTAAATGATTCCAATCCTACTAAGCAGGCTAAACCTGGCATAACTGCTACTAGACCGGAGTAGGTCCGCCCAAAAATAATCGAACGCTACCAATGCGGTAAGACCGAGCAAAAGGACGGCTCGGAGCTCGACTTGTGCCCACGCGTGAATGGATGCCCCACGAGCCTTGGCTGGCGGGTTTTTTTTTCTGTTCTTGTCTGGCTTTAACCCCCTGCTTTCCACCGCGTTCTGGTCGGGTTTTTGGCTTTTGCTCCCCCTGCGACGGATTTGATTAATTCTTCGTTTCTGTTTTTTTTTTCTTTTCGATTGATTTCCTCGCTTCTTTATTCTTTAAATCGAGTCCATCGCCAGGGAAATTGACAAATTCTCTTCCCAATCGGTGAATTGCCTCCCCGTAACAAACGATCTGTTGTACGGACAAATGACAATGGCTAAGAAAGACAAACGGCGGAACCCACCCC